ACATACATACATACATACATACATACATACATACATACATACATACATACATACAAACATACATACACACACTTTTATATAATTATCTAAAAGCATCTTTCGCCTTGACGCCAGGGCGATCCAAATGTGGTCCTAAAAATAGAGGGGACCACGAATAATCGAACTAGGTCAAGTAACTTCCGAATCGAAGGCTCAAATTGACTTTTACCCAAAAGTATCTCCATTAATCTCGTACTTCCTGTAGTCAAATTGGTATTGTACTTACCCATTGAAAAAAAGCATTTTCCTTTCGTCCACTTGGTCTGTGAAAGGTCTGTCTCGCGTTTGGGGATCAGCTTGCTTGCCCTGGGAAAGGCCGACTCTTGGATGTACAGGTCTGTGCCCGTGCCCTGGGCAGCGTACTCCGTCGCGTTTCTGCCTCTGGTACAGATAATGTCTTCGGGGGAGAAAGGAGATAACGCAAACCGTGGGTAGATCAAGATGCAAAAACACGTCAAAGTCTTTGTCGGAAGACATATAAAACACTCACGTGTGAATATACCATCTAATGAAGAGGCCTTATTTCAGAATTGCGGATTGTAAAAATACGCCTGGAATCTCGGAATGAGGTAAAAATTCATTCAATATTTTCCTGTTGTCATCTTTAACATGAAGGCAAAGAATAACATGGATGGACACCTCCAGGTCCGGGTACCTCTAACATATGAATCTTTTGAAGACTTGTCTGGAATAATTTTGCTCTGATTTTATTTTTAAGAAGAGCTAAAAACCGCACAGATTCTTTCGAGTAGCTTATCATTGCAACAGCAGACTTATTTTCTGACCCAACTAGAGCGTATTATTTGTACAAAAATTGTATAATGCACTCGTCAAAGAAAAGAAACTGCTTACTGGGATCCACGAAGTAAGCCGTGAGGGTGTAGCGGTTTCCGTCAGGCACAAAAGGTGGTCGGATCTTGGTACTGGGGTAACCATTAGCCTGATCGTTGGGGATCTGGGGAGTACGATCAGGCCACATGGCTGGTGAAAGCATGTATTTCTGATGTCGTTTTTAGGCAGCGTGTTGAACTGACGGCGGGGAACAGCTTTAAGGGGAAAAGTGTTTTAGATTTCCTATATTGGCCAAATTCGATGTGTATTTGTGTGTGCTTGCCTATGTGTCTGTATATGCATGTTTATGTGTAATAGCTGAAAACAGCTATACGGGATTAGTCTTCGGGCGCGTTTCACATAAAATTAATAATATTATTTACCGGATTCCGCACCATTTGAGTGAAAAAACATTTGGAGACAATAAAATGACATCAGGAATATAATTTATTCATACTAAAAGTCCCCCCCCCCCCTCTTTCTCACAACCAAATAGTGGCTTGTTGTCAATGACCACGCTCCATACTTGTAAAATGTTGAAAATGTAGCTATTTTTTCCCCCAGTAAGTGTTTTACACGCTAGCAACTGCATAAGGTCACAGGAGCGCGCGGGATGCATTAAACATTTTTCGGTTGGTAGAAAATTTTGATTTTTCCCCGGGTGGCGGCCAAAGGCTATTCTTATCGATTTTGGACCACCAAGGGATCTTTAACGTGCCCAACTTGCACACGGAACCTCCGATATTTTCACCGTTATCCGAGAAGGCTAGGTGTTAGATCTTCACTACCACAAGATCATGGGTGTGGATGAAAGACAGCAGTGAGAAGAAACCGAGGAGTAACAGTAGAAAGGCTGCAGGAGTCAGGGGCCCAGAGGAGGGGGCAAAGGGGAGGGGGGAAGGGGGCAGAACGTGGAGACGAAAGCAGACAGAATATGGTTAGAGAGCAGGAAAGGAGGTGAAAGGAGAACATTTTGGAGAAGAAAATTTTCTGTCGCTCTCCGGATTCGAACCCGGAACCTATTGAATGAGAGGCAAGCACCATAACCTCTAGACCATGAGAGCCCCCTTGCAAATTATGTTGATTTTAGTGTGCAGTTGTAAGAAATAATAATGCTTACCGATGTCTGGATGCCTGCAATGTAGCCGTTGATGTCATAGAGCAACACCACTGCGTAGTCGTCGTCCTTGACGTATCGGTCGCCCCTCCACTTGGAGAATCCTGGAAAGCATTTTTTTTAGATTCTCTCTCTCTCTCTCTCTCTCTCTCTCTCTCTCTCTCT